AAAAAACACACCCATGTTCTCAGATTAAATACATAACAGTACCTAAATACAAAACAGCACTCCTTTGTCTTGAACTCAAACACTGCACATTTGCATATTTCACCAAAATAAATTCTAATTTTTGGCTAGAGTCACGTCGGTGTCCACAGGATGAAGCAAACTTTGGGAAAAAGCCTAAACCTCACGGAGTGTGTGATCCATCCAGAGAAGCAGGCGTCGCCATCCTTGGACCGGACGCTGCTCTCACCCCTGGCGTTCACCTTTAGCATGGGGACGTACACGTTGTTCATCTCAGATGAATCTCCTCTTGTTGGGCTCCGTCAGAATAAGAGACCATACTTGTTTCCTATAGAATTGTAATCTCAGTCTCTTGGTTCTGGTACGCCTCCTCCTGCATGTCAGCGTAAAGCTGGTCCATCCTCTGGAAGGCCAGGTAGCCCTTTTTACCTGCCCACAGGTAGAACGTTTAATAAAATTAGAATAAAGCAAACTACAAATGAATGAGCTAGTGAGTGAAGAAAAATGAATGTTTGTACCAAAGGAGAGGACCGTCTCTCTGGCAGCGCTGCGAAGATCTTCATCTGCTGATCTGTACAAATCTGCTATGTGATCCACGCTCTCTGTCGCCTGGCAAACACACACACATCCTTAGCAGGTGGCTGTGATAAAAACTGTGTTTCTGTGAGTGATGCTGTGTCTGCAGACAGTTTGGGTGTTGCTCACCCTGAGGTATTTAAGTGCTAGACAGGAGCCCTGTTGGATTTGAACATCGGTGCTTTTTAAACTCTCAGTGTAGTAAACTAGCGCCTGGAGAACAGAGAAGTAGGAGAGAGATGACTTGTGTTAGAGGAGTGGGTGAAACAAAGTAAACCAAGAGAGAGAATCTTACTGACTTCTGCAATTTACAGTGGCCCTTCAAGATAAAGCCTAAGTTTTCAAACACAAACACTGGGAATGCCCTTTAAATTCAGAAGTGCTACAAATACCAAAATGTATAAATAATAGGCAAAACATGTGAAATTACTGCAGGTGCTCCAA